GAAAAAATGATCGTTGGATTAATCAACTATGAAAATAATCGTGAGCTGCAGCCCCAATAAAATAAAATCACGATTTGCTTTTCAAGGAGCCCTACACATTAGGTGGAGGATATCAGAATCAAACCCAGTACTTCTTGGCTGGGCCGTCAAAGGCCCTATAGTGTTACACTATCCGTACCCCAATTACTCCAGAATATTATACTATAGGTTTATATATAGTAAGCCTATAGTATAATAACTAATGTATATTAGAGGTGAACACACACCAGAGCCAGGACCTTGCTCAACATGTCCGTTGGCCAACCCGTTGCTTAGCTCCAACTCCTCTAATGTCAGCGCTTTTGGCGGCTGTCGTTTGAGATCTTCCTGGACCTCTGCCAACGTGATCTCCAGCGCCGGGCCGCCGCCAACCTTGTTGTACTGCTGCTTTAACTTCTGAATAGTGCCGTCTGTATGTAGCAAGAAAGACAGCAAGAGGGGCTCTCACACACATGAACAGCACAGTTGCCATGCAGCACATGTTTTGTACCAACCACACACACACACACACTCACAGTTTTCATACTGAATCATGTGCCACTCCCTAATGCTGAGGCGAACCCGCTCCCACTCACCAAACTCCAGAAAGGGATACGGCCTGGCGGCCAGGCTGACCGCCGTGCTGTCGAAGCACGCCTTGAACGCCCAGCACAAGTCCTCCAGGAAGCAGAAGGCCTTGGCCACCGAGAGGCCGCGGTGGCACACGGCCATGTAGGACACACCCTCAGTACAAACAAAGCTACGACGTGGGTAGGAGGGGGGAGAAAAAGGAGGTATTTTAGTACAGCAAACAGCCTCCCCCAGGGGGGGGAGGGAGGGGTCATATGCAAGTGCAGCGTCTGCCACCACCAGAGACAGTGATTACTCAGACCATGTGTGTGTGTATTGACTATACTGCTTTCCCCGGGGTGTGGGTGCAGACTTCTTACTAGATGTTGAGGTCCTGGCCCCGGACCGAGCCTCTCTCGGGGAGCCGGCCCAGTGCCTTGCTCATCTTCCTGAGCTGCTGCTTCCTCTCCTGCAGCTCCCGGTTGTGCGCGAAGTCCGTGGAGGCCGAGAGGGGGAGGCCGTCCCTCACCCGGACCACGAAGGCAAACAGGATCATTGGCATGGTCCGCTGGGCCAGTGGGTGGCACCCTGGCTACACGTGAAGAGGGTCGGCTCGGTCCTCTCTCTGTCAGGGGGGGGGGGACCATGTCGGTCCCGTGGGTGGGTTAGCGAGGCGCTTGCAGGGTGTTCACAACACGCATGCAGTGATACCGGTGCATGTGCATGGACGTGCATGGGTGCATGGATGTGCATGGGTGTGCATGGACGTGCATGGACGTGGATCTGCACCGAGGTCGCCTGGCACCCTTACCTCAGTGTCCCTGGACTCATGTTGTTTATCTTGCAGGCGTTAGACCATGTCTACTTCGTTAACATGTGGTGAATGAACGCCTCGAGGTGGACGTGTTTCAACGCCAGCCGACGTGGTGAATACTGAGCACGTTGTACCTGTAAACACACCGAGCAGCTCGCACGGCCTGCTGCTGCTGCTGTGTTGTTGTTGTTGTTTCCTCTTCTTCCGGGTGGAAGCACGGAAGCCCAGACGGGACAAAACAGGCTGGCGGCGGCGTCGTCGTTCGCGCAGAACGGGATGCTCCAAATGAACGTTATCGGAGAGAGAGAGAAAGGGGGCGGGACTTTTGAAAGAGGGATATCACTTCCTTTACACGTTTCGCATATTTCTTTCGTCAAAACTCCATATTTATTCTCCTGGTCGTCGTCGTCGTTGTTGTTGTTATTCTTCTCGGCCCCCTGAGACTGTTAACTGGCGTACACAGTTCACTGGAATGACTAGGAAGTAGGTAACCGGAAACGGCGGTCGCGGTAGACCGGGATAACGCTACAGTTCAGGATCCTCTCTCAACATCAGCGAAGTGCGCTCCCAAACACACACCAGTCAAGAGACCAACGGCTAGCCAGCTACCCAGAGGTTGCTACTCTATACAAGTATGTATCACGTTTTTAGCCCTTTCATAGTTTCAATTTCATGAACGGAATTATGTTTCGGGTTTGGACTGTGTGTTGTGAACGTGGTTGCGATGTGTTACTCGTTTAGCAACTCGTTGTTTCAGACGGTAGTTGTCACCAACGGATAGCTGCGATGCTAGCTGATGCTATTATTCAGTATGCACGCGCACGGATGTACCAGTATGCTATAGCAGCTTTAATGGAGACACACAGCAGCAACAACACATAATAAAGTCCCCACATCCCTTTTTCATGTAGTTCACCAACACTCAATCTTTTTTTCCTTTTCAAGAGGTTTTGTTACAGCAGGTCCTGGTTTCAAGTCAACATTAATGAGTCTTTTCTCCCAATTCAACTGAATTACTGAATTATTAAGTCTTGTCCTGCAGAGCTGGACCAGAAGATACTGTGTTGTCTATATTAACTTGATGCCCTCAATACTACTACTAGTACAACTACCAATTCAACTACTAATACTACTACTAGACTAGTACAACTACCAATTCAACTACTAATACTACTACTAGACTAGTACAACTACCAATTCAACTACTAATACTACTACTAGACTAGTACAACCACTAGTACAACTACCAATTCAACTACTAATACTACTACAACCGCTAATACTACTACTACTACTACTAGTACAACTACCAATTCAACTACTAATACTACTACTAGACTAGTACAACTACCAATTCAACTACTACTACTAGACTAGTACAACTACCAATTCAACTACTACTACTAGACTAGTACAACCACTAGTACAACTACCAATTCAACTACTAATACTACTACTAGACTAGTACAACTACCAATTCAACTACTAATACTACTACTAGACTAGTACAACCACTAGTACAACTACCAATTCAACTACTAATACTACTACTAGGCTAGTACAACTACCAATTCAACTACTACTACTAGACTAGTACAACTACCAATTCAACTACTAATACTACTACTAGACTAGTACAACCACTAGTACAACTACCAATTCAACTACTAATACAACTAAATACTACTACTAGTACACCTCCAATACACCTACTAATACTACTACTAGTACTACTACTAGTACACCTACTAGTACTACTACTAGTACACCTACTAGTACAACTACTGTCTAGTACACCTACTGATACAAGGCATCTAACCTTCAACAACAGCTATGGCGACCTGCCATCAGGCTTTTAATAGACCCATCTGTCCTTGTCACGTCTCTGATTTGTGCATAGTTTGCATACATATTGAAATGGATACGATGCTGTGCCATTAACACTGGCATCTTTGTTATGAATACGTGCATGACTGAGTTACTATTGTGGTTTGCACTTGGCGTAAGGGTTGAGTGATATTTACAAAAATGCTTAATTAAATATTTTTGAGCAGACACTATAGCTTTTCAACTGAATTCCCTGTTTATGAATTTGACCAGGATACGTGCCAAGCTTTGTGCCCAATAGCCAGGCCTGCAATACCCTCCTAAGGGCTATAGATGGGCTGGTAAAACAGGGAGGTGTTGCTGTGACTTGCTATGCATACTACTGCAATTCCCTATTGACTTCACTGATCTCTCTCTCTCTCTCTCTCTCTCTCTCTCTCTCTCTCTCTTTTACCTCTCTCTCTCTCTCTCTCTCTCTCTCTCTCTCTCTCTCTCTCTCTCTCTCCCCCCTTCCTTCCCCCTCACTCACTCGTAACCACACACTTTCCCCACACACTTTGTTTGGACTTCTGCTCACGTTAGGCAGTTTAAAGGGGAAGTGCCCCATTTCTAACTTTGCACCAGGTTAAAGTGTTGGTGCTTTTTACGATTTAGGTCAAACTGACCGTAACCACGATGGGTGTGAAAGACCGGCCGCAGTGCTACTTTGACGTGGAGCTCAACCGGGAACCTGGTAAGAGATTCTGAACCATTCATTGTATTGAAGACTGAAGGTTGCTGTCTCATTCATTACTTTTTTATCAGCCCCCAGAGCATTTTGTGTGTGTGTGTGCGTGTTAATCTTGACTCTTTTTTTTCACTGGTACATTGTGTCTTGTCTTCTTGACTGAAAATAACATTCAGATTATTATGGATTATTATGGTAGATCATTATTTCTTGGTCAAGATGGAAAAACTAAGTGTTGTTTATGATTTTCCACATATAATAATGTCTAGTTTTCACCACACAATTCCATTTTGATTAGGGTGAATGTACCCATTAAGCCCACCAGGTCTCTGTACTGCTGCACCTTATTTAAGAATGGTAGATGGGAAATAAAGAAATGTATGCTATACAATGTACTCTATATAGGTACTCTATTTGTTTAATGGCCTAGGAACAAGAAATTCGAATGCAGTTTAAATTGTTGTATTGATTTAATTGATTTGCTTGTGTTAATTAGTTTTGTATAAACCTTAAAAATGTATCTTTTTAATACAATTTCTTTTTGTTTGTTTTTCTGCAGTTGGGCGAATCGTATTTCAACTTTTCTCCGACATATGTCCCAAGACAAGTAAAAACTTCCTTTGTTTGTGCACAGGTGAGTGTTTTTGGATATTTTCTTCACGTACTAGAATATAAATCTCCACTTCAGTAGACAGTTCACATATTTAAATCCAAATGTTGAAGTGTGTCAGCAAGAGAATAAAGCTAGCTTATTTATGGTGCTTTTAAATACCCTTAAATCTTAATGTCCTTGTTTACTCCGCTGAGTATCAAGGAAATGAAACCCTGGTCATTTGCCAATTCATTATTGCAATCTCCAGAGTGCTGGAAACATGAGCTTCTGTTTTCCAAGGAAAGTGAAAGAGGAGAGTTGAAGGAAACATTTCTGTTATTTTGTCAGTTGTCTAATCTGGTGGGGATTGGAGGCGGAAGATGTTTAATGGAAGAATAACAAAAATATGCCATTTGGTCGACACTTTTATCTCACAACATTCTTGGCATGGGTGGGCCCAGTGGGAATCGAACCCATAACCCTGGCAGTGTTACTGCCAATGCTCTTAACAGTTGAGAAAGTAGGCCCACAAAGTATAGATTCTAGGTACAAGGTACTGTACATGGTGATGTGGTGAGGGATGGGATCAGGGGCTTGGTGTCTCCTGTCTGGAAGGGTCATTCCTAACCAGGCTAACCAGGATGCAGCACAGCAGCGGATGCCCTGTATGGACATGGTTGTAAATCTGGGGCTAGAAGGCAAATCATTCCTTCCTCTCATCTTTCACCCTCACTGGCCACCAGCAACATGATATTGGCAAGAGGCTCCAGTGTTTCCCTACACACAGCCAACAGTAGCACAGCGCCTCCACTGGTAGAACCGGTGCCACTGCAATCAGCCATGCAAAAAAACAAACAACCTTTGTGTAGCAACAAATGTAGCATTAGAAATGATGTTGAGTGCCCTAAATGCGATTGGAACCAGTGATCACACTAAAACCTCTCTGCTCCCACGCACATCAGCACCGTGCATGAGCACATCAGCACTGTGCACATCAGCACCGTGCACACGCACATCAACACTGTGCACACGAACATCAGCCTTACTTACCGATGGTTTAGTTGATAGGGACAGATACCAGTCATGTGGATTGTACAACAATCCAACAGAAAGCATCATAGCATTTATAGCCTTAGCTAATTTCCAATGCCCGTCCCTACGGGGGATATGCCAACGCATATCAGCACCGTGCACGCTAACATCACAGTGCACCTCACACACACACACACACACACACACACACCGATACTGGAAAAAAAATCGTAGGGGAAACACTGCTGTCTCTGTCTCTCTATACCGGCCTGGTCTCCTCTTGCTCTCTCTGGAAGCTTACCAATGTGCCCTTTTTTTCTTTGGCTGGTCGGTCGGTGCCTTCCTCTCCGAACAGGCATCCACAAAGCTCTCTCTCTCTCTCTCTCTTTCTCTCTCTCTCTCGGCTCGGTTTCCCTGGCTCTCTCTGAAAGCTTACGAATGTGTCCTTTTTGTCTTTTCTTAGGAACCTGCCCCTTTTTGTTGTCTATAAGAAACCAATCGTTGCCTAAATTGTTGGAATCAAAAAGCAGGTCACACTAGCAACCTCACCAGTGACACAGCCACAGCTTTCTGTGTTCAGGGAGCTCTCTCCCGCTCTCTCTCTCTCCCGTTCTCTCTTGCTTGCTCTCTCTCCCGTTCTCTCTCTCTCACACCCCCCCACACACCCCATAAAAGCTCTCACGCCACCTGTCCTGTGGCCAGATTGAAAAACGGGAGGACTCTCCCCACAGGCTATTTAGTTTTATGTCATGTCTCCCAGCCATGTGTCCAATGAAGGGGCAACGCTGTATGAAACAAACCAGAGCCTTATAGCTTGGGAAACCTTAACGAGGGAATGCCTGAACGAGGTTATCGGGTTCGTTAGCGCCACACTCCCACCATCCTCCCCTCCCCTCCTGTCCACCCCACCACCTGCGGTTTCATTACAATGTTTTGGATAACCTCAAGGGGGGGGGGAGACCAGACAGCGTTCAAGAACGCAGTTTATTTAGTGAACCCGATGCCTCCAGCCTTCTGGTATATCGCAGCGGCACCTTTTTAATAGTTGCAGACCTGTTATTATTTTTTGTGTAAAACACAATTAACGCTCCGTCATGGTTTTTTTTTTGTTTGCAGGGGAAAAGGGAACTGGCAAAACCACAGGGAAAGAGTTGTGCTACAAAGGATCCACGTTTCATAGAGTTGTAAAGAACTTCATGGTCCAGGGAGGAGACTTTACTGAAGGTGAACCCGGGCATATGTCCTTTCAGCACATATTCTACCACACATTAAGCTAAAAAATAGTCCATAATGAATCATCATTATTCAAGTATTTCTGTTTGTCCGTAGGAAATGGACGAGGGGGGGAGTCGATATACGGTGGCTACTTTGAAGGTGAGGAGAAAGTCGTTTACTGTCTCTCAAAGCGTATCAAGGAGCTTGTCTGTGCGCCTCCATATTGGCTAGATTTGAATGTGCATGTGTAGAGGGATTTTATTTTTTATATATATTCTTCTCACCCTACCTTCTGAACTCTGACCTGCGGTCTGGTTTTGACTTTTGTGTGGTGAACGTAGTGAGCTCTTTGCAAATCAGCATGGAGGCTAGGCATTCTCTCTTCATTGAAAGCTACGATCCTTCCTGCCTAAAATTTTTCAACATATTCTTTTATTTATAGAGTGGTCTTTTGCAAAATGAGAAGGTAAGAGATATACACAGCTCAGTAACACCATGCCACAAACGCCCCCCTGCCCCAAGTTCAAGAACTCAATTCCAAAGCCTTAGTGTTGATCGTGTCAGTCCACATGTAAACTGTAGGATGTTAAAGCTATGCGGCTGGCCATTATGTAATGTTGATGTATGCACAGGGCCATTTACACCCTGTGCAGTCTCTTTAAAGATCCCATTAGAAATCACAATGCCTTAACCAACTATCTGCTTATTTTGAGTCACAAAATGTCCACCATCAAGTTACTTGTAAATGCTATTTTCTTATTGAAGTTGACAGGAATACATCCTCTTTAAGCCTGTTCTTATGTCCGGATATGTTTTATAAGTCATAACTTTTGGGACATTTTCAAAGGTTATTTTTAGCTTCACAAAGCACACTCTCTTAACAGGCAACCGAGAGAGGTAAGCTACTTTTAAACACCATGTCGGATGAGATCTTCCACTCCACATTACTTATACTACACCACCCTTTAATGGCTAGTCCTCCAGGAACTAGTCTGGGCCCACTTGTGAGACCGTCTCCCCTCTGTTTCCCCTCCTTCCCGTTCAGATGAGAACCTCATTGTCAAACACGACAAGGCCTTCCTGCTGTCCATGGCGAACCGCGGCAAGGACACCAACGGTTCACAGTTCTTCATGTGAGTACCGAGTCCACCAAGTCCCACACTATACGCCACTGTTTCCTGTACCTTCTCTTATCTTATCTATATACATCCAACTCACAGCCCGTGACCATTTTTTTTAGTTGACTTTCACGCATTGCAAGTTAGGAGTTTTTTTGTTTGTTTATCCTCGTAGTTTTGATTCGTCAACAGTCAAATGTGTCAATCCAAGTCAACCACCATTAATAACCATAACCCCGCCCCCCCACTCACTCTGTTAGTTATAATTCACAGAAGTACTGGGCAACATGGACTCTTGTCACCTACAAATGTGTTACATTTTCTCTCTTGCCGTTTTGTGTAACATTTGCAGAAACTCTTAACATCCTGCCCTTCCAAGGTAATGTGTCTCTAAGGCTGTGTTGTCTCACTCGCTCTCTCTCTCTCTGTCTCTCTCTTCGCTCTCACTCGATCTCTCTGTCCCTATCTGTCTGTCTTTCTCTTTCTCTCTCTGTCTCTGTCTCTGTCTCTCTGTCTCTCACTCACTTGATTGACTCAATACTCTGTATTGAGAAACATTTTGTAGAGTAGAATGATGTAACTTTTTTTCGTAACGACAACAAGAGAGAAATCACTAATGGATGCCACTGTCAAAATGTGATTTTTGAGTGCATTCTCTAGGCCTGTGGCCCAGCCGGCTGTCCCTGTTACTGTAGCTGTGTCCGTTCATTTGAACACGATTTTTAGGGCAACGACAGGAAGTACATCATCTTAGGATTTGATCATTACTCAGTGGCTATTCACCATATCATAATGTGAGAGTTGATTCATGAATCTTATAGGAAGTATATGTTTCCAACGTCTATGTCAACATCTATGTCAATAAGTAAACTCATTTATTGTGTTGTAGTTCCCTAGTAAACTTGTTTATACTCACTCTGTTCCTGTCTTTTGTCCCCCCCCTCCTTGTTTCATGAACCCCTGCCCTTGTTTGGCCCCATCTGGCCGGGTTACTGTCTGGATGTTCTTCATACAGTACAACCAAGATGGCGCCTCACCTCGATGGGTAAGTCTAACTGACAAACCTATTGATTGGTGATTATTGAGCACACTGAATCGCCAGTATGTATAATAATAATGTGTTACATATTACCATGAAGACTAGTTCTATTTAATATTACTATTTAGTCTTTCAAAGCAATTGAAGTGAATTATTGTGGAGATAGGAGATAGCAGGTTGGTCATCCTTCTCAAGGATGCCTGTAGACATTATGGTTCCAACACTTTTCAGCTAGGAGTTAAACCCGCCACTAGACTATCCTGGTCCCCCAAGTGCTGAGCAACAGGTGGATAACAAGTCAACTATCGTTTTCTTTCCCAGAGTGCACGTGGTCTTTGGGCTCGTCATCTCCGGCTTTGAGGTGATCAAGAAGATCGAAGGGCTGAAGACGGACTCAGCCAGCCGGCCCTACGCTGATGTCAGAGTGGTCGACTGTGGTCAACTCATCACCAAGTCCGCCCACGATGGTAGGGGTTTTCATCGCTGTCTTCACTTCCTGAATGTCAAATGCTATGACAACACAGTTAGACAAGTTCCAGTTAGCAGTCAACATTCATCCGGAACATTTATAAGGTTTTTATTACATTTAATGATGAAACACAAACACAATTGGCAGTGGCATAAAATAAGGTGAAATACTATTGGGCCTGACCGATATTTGTGAGTAAATCCCATTAAATAGTGTTCCAGTTGTATTTTCTTATGATAATCTATCCTGTACTTTCCTTTAGAGAACTGAAAGAAATCCTGCAACAATTGACTCATTGTGTTGTGAATAGCTATCCCTAGTGGGCTCTGTTACTTGCCTATCAATGTAACTGGGTCATTTAGTGCACATACTCTAAGTGGACGGCATTTTGATGCTGTCCCGGCATTAGAGCTGGGCCTGTAACCTGATCTTCTGTTTAACAGGGGATCAGTGGCGCAATCTGTGTACAGTTGAGTTGGCAGCACATGCGTTCGCACCCAGAGCCCAGCTTTCACCAGCCCAACTGAAAGCTGCTTCTGTTATGGCAGCTTAATGCTACCCACATATAAACTAGTCCCCACCTTTCAAGGAGGCTTACGTGTTGTTTTTGTAATGGGAACAAAGCGTTTATTTATATTAGATGTGTAGCTATTAT